TAGGTTCAAACAGACCTGAGACCAGACAGGGTCCACCTGTAGGTTCAAACAGACCTGAGACCAGACAGGGTCCACCTGTGGGTCCAAACAGACCTGAGACCAGACAGGGTCCACCTGTGGGTCCAAACAGACCTGAGACCAGACAGGGTCCACCTGTGGGTCCAAACAGACCTGAGACCAGACAGGGTCCACCTGTGGGTCTAGGTGGGTTTCTGTCCTCTTGGTTTCATGAAGGGGTTTTTGATTGTTGGGTTCTGGTTCTGATGTCTAACCCGTCTCTCTCTCCTGTCCACCTGGCAGCTTCAGGCCCAGAAACTGCGTCTGTCTCGGAACCAGGGTCCGTACTATGGCGGCTCCTTACCCAATGTGAACCAGATCGGCAGGAACCCTCAGGACTTCCAGGTGACACTCTCACCTCTGATGTCACTTCCTGGTTCTGTTTATTGTGCCTCTCATCATTGGGTTTGAGGTGTTTGACCTTTTCAGGTCCTTTTCAGGTCCAGATCTAAATAAAGTCCTGTCCTCTTCCTCTCAGGGGTCCTTCCAGTCCACTCTGGAGTCCAACCGTCTGACTCGGCATCACGGTCTGGTGGAGCGGGTCCAGAGAGACCGCCGCTTCATCTCGCCGGTCCGACCGTACCGCAACCGCCAAGTATCCTTCTGATCCCACCTGAGACCAGCTCTCAGTCCATAATCCAGACTCTGAGTCCTCAGGACTTAGATCCTCCTGGGTCTGGTTTGTTTTCTGTTAGCATCTGATGTTAGCCACAGATCTTCATCATCAGCTTCATCGTCTGCTCTGAATCCTAATTTAATTAAATTAAATTTAATTTTTATCAGGCTGTTCTGATGGTTCTACAGAAACCTCCAAACTTTGTCAGGTCACCAGGATCACCTCAACTTTTTCAGGTGTTTTTCCTCTGAAATCAGTTTTTTTGTTGCTCAAAATCTTTATTAGGATTATATTTATATTTTATTAGGATTATATTTATATTTTATTAGGATTATATTTATATTTTATTAGGATTATATTTCACACAGTTCATTCAAATGATACGAAAAGACATTTATTTGTTATATTTTGACAAAATGCAATTTTTGTAAACGTTTTAATCAAAGCCTCTGTGCCTGATAATAAAACTAAGTCGGACCCTTTCAGAGTGGGAGTTGGACTCCTGCTGGATTTCTTGGTGCAGCCAGGGGGTGGAGGGAGTCCTGTTTCTGGTTCTGTTGGTGTCATCGTGCTGTAGATCTTCAGCTCTCACTGGACCGGTTCACAGCTGGGATGAGGATCAGTGTCTCCAAGTCTGAGTCCATGGTCCTCAGTCAAACAAAGATGGGCTGCTCTCTCTGGGTTGGTAGCTGGACTCTTAGAGAGAGCTGTGAGAAGTTCAGTTTTCCAGGAGACACTCAGAGTAGAGCTGCTGCTCCTCCTCATCCACAGGAGAGACTTTGTCTCTCAGCTGGTCTGGGATCACCTTAGAGTCCTCCCAGGAGAGCTGGAAGAGGAGGCTGAGGTCATAGAGGTCTGGACCTCCCTGCTCAACCTGCTGCCCTGAGACCTGACTTTGGATAAAGCAGAAGATGATGGATGGATGATGGATGGATGATGGTTAGATGATGGATGGATGATGGTTAGATGATGGATGGATGATGGCTGGATGATGGTTGGATGATGGTTGGATGGATGATGGATGGATGATGGTTGGATGGATGATGGTTGGATGGTTAGATGGATGATGGATGGATGATGGTTGGATGGATGATGGTTGGATGGATGATGGATGGATGATGGTTGGATGGATGATGGTTGGATGATGGTTGGATGGATGATGGATGATGGATGGATGATGGTTGGATGGATGTTGGATGATGGATGATGGTTAGATGATGGATGGATGATGGATGGATGATGGTTGGATGTTGGATGATGTATGATGGATGGATGATGGTTAGATGATGGTTGGATGATGGATGGATGATGGTTGGATGGATGTTGGATGATGGATGATGGTTAGATGATGGATGGATGATGGATGGATGATGGTTGGATGTTGGATGATGTATGATGGATGGATGATGGTTAGATGATGGTTGGATGATGGATGGATGATGGTTGGATGGATGTTGGATGATGGATGGATGATGGTTAGATGATGGATGGATGATGGATGGATGATGGTTTGATGATGGTTGGATGGATGGATGTTGGATGATGTATGATGGATGGATGATGGTTAGATGATGGTTGGATGATGGATGGATGATGGTTGGATGGATGTTGGATGATGGATGGATGATGGTTAGATGATGGATGGATGATGGATGGATGATGGTTTGATGATGGTTGGATGGATGGATGTTGGATGATGTATGATGGATGGATGATGGTTGGATGGATGATGGTTAGATGATGGTTGGATGATGGATGGATGATGGTTGGATGGATGATGGATGATGGTTGGATGATGGATGGATGATTGTTGGATGATGGATGATCGATGGATGGATGATGGTTGGATGATGGTTGGATGATGGATGGATGATGGTTGGATGGATGGATGGATGATGGTTGGATGATGGATGGTGGATGGATGATGGTTGGATGTTGGATGATGGATGATGGTTGGATGATGGATGATTGATGGATGATGGTTGGATGATGGATGATGGTTGGATGATGGATGATGG